TGAATTAAATCCTGAGATGATCTTCAAGTTTGACAAAGTCTTCACTCAATATCCAGAGAGCTTTGGCGGTCTTGTCGTCATTGGCTTCGGGTATCATATAATCAATTCGCCGACAATTGCTGTCAATTTAAATGTCAATTAATATACAAAATAAATGCATAATATATTAATTAATATAAGACATACTCGTAGTAATATCCGGTCTCGTCGTCCAAATCCTCCTCCAGAGCGCAATACAGTGTAGTCTGAGATCCCATGAAAGGTGTCATCAAAAGGTTTCTCCTCATAAATCCCTTTCCTTTTGGTTTGTCATCGCTTTTCTCAACATGTCTTTGTAAATCAGTATCAATGGCACCGGGATTTAATGAATACGTGTTGATATTGGTATGTCTTAATCTTTTAGCCAACTCTCGGCTAAACAAGACATTTGCGAGTTTGCTCTGTCCGTAGGCAAACCACGGGTGATAATCACCGTTTCGGAGGTTTATGTTATTTAAATGAATATTTCCTAATCCGTGACCACTAGAGGCCACGGTTATCACACGAGCTGCCGATGACTTCCTCAGCAGTGGTACCAAATGTAAAGTTAACAGAAAATGACCTAAAATTATATTAATAATTATTTTTTAATATACTGCAATCTTAATTAAGTAATAATTGGTAAATTATTTTATATGTTTGTGAAAATAATTACCCAAATGATTGGTCCCAAACTGCATCTCAAAGCCGTCCTCAGTCTGCCATTCAGGACACGCCATAACCCCTGCGTTATTGATAAGGATATCCACTTTGGACTCCAATTGAGACAAATCTTTGGCGAAGTGGCGGACCGATTGAAGTGAAGACAAATCAAGTTTTAATAGTTTTATGTCTGCCTTTGGATTCAGTGCCACAATGTCTTTGACAGCTGTCTCTCCTTTGACGACATCCCGACACCCGATGTATACCTTTATGAGAAAATTTGTCATTTTATTAATTAAATATTTTTTGTAAATTTATTCTAATTTTGCATATATAAAAATTTCATTTTAGAAATTATCCGTAACTTTAAGCTTACAAAACCTTATGATATTTATAACGATTTCTAATTCAGCAGTAATTGATAAAAATTAATATTTAAAAATCAAAACTTTTCATACCTTGGCCTCCCTGAGCGTCATTTGATACGCCGTCTCTTTTCCAATGCCAGTGTTAGCACCGGTCACCACAACTACCTGTCCATTGAGTTTCTTATCGCTCTTTACCCGACCCCTCAATCCGAGAAGATTAGTGCCGAACTCATATACGCAAGTCAACAGAAACCGCCACAAATGGACCAATCTCAGTTGGCCACACACACCCATTTTTTGTAATGATCAAGTTTATTTCTAGACAATTAGAATAATTATATTAAATTTAATTTCAGCACAAGTCACAGAATAAACACAAAATTATTGATTATTAACAATAAATTATCATGTTGGAATAGTTTGTTGATTGTAATTGCTTATATATACGGTATATAATATATGGTAGACTATTTATATTTGTGAAATGTTATTATTCCGTATAATTTATACGCATTATGATAAACGCATATCAATGATAAAACATTGTAGTATATATAAAAGTAGATAGTGCATATGGACTTGCCTGACCTTCAGATTAAATGAGGGAACGGTATGCAGTCATAGCACACATTTATATAACACTTTAGTGCAAAATTAGTGTACTACAAACCTTTAAATGAGATTTTGGTGTATCACTTGATACAACACAAACTGTTTTATAATAGCAATCAATCCATTGATTCTGAAATTATTCTTAAAATTTGTTTAGTTTAATAAAAAACAAAAAACAATAAAATAATCAGTTATTCAGCGCTCATATGCTTCTCTCTGTCAGAATTTGGTCGAAGAATATTCAAAGGAGTCAATCGGTATGAGAGTCAGACACGACTCGATGGACAGGTAGTCGTCATCACCGGCGCCAACACTGGTCTCGGAAAGGAGACGGCATATCAACTGTCGCTAAGAGGGGCTCAGGTATGCTGCCATTTAAATCATTAAATTATTTTATTTTTAATGCATATATAACTTATGTGTGATTTATTCATAGATTATAATGAGTTGTCGGAGTATAGAGAGGGGAGAGGAGGCTATGAACGATATAAAGGTGCGGAACGGGAGGGCAGACCTGACACTCATTCCACTGGATTTGGCGTCTCTGAAGTCCGTACGAGAGTTCGCCAAAACGGTGTCCTAAAGGGTCGACCAAATCGATGTACTTATCAATAACGCGGGGGTTATGAATGTCCCGCAGTCCCAGACTGAGGATGGATTTGAAATGCACTTCGGGGTCAATCATTTGGGTATTTATTAGATTTTCATCTAAAACTAATGTTAATCATAGAAATAATTAGGCATTACTTTAATTGCATAAATTGCTGAAAGTTTTATTTAATATGAATATTTAGCATTTGTTAAATCACACGAACTTTCAATTACTAGTTGAAGCACTACTATATTTGTGTTGAATATAACCATGGTCATTATGTTAACAATTTTTAGGCCACTTTCTGTTGACAATGCATTTGCTACCACTGCTGAAAAGGTCACCGAAAGCGCGTGTAGTGAACGTGTCTTCGAGCGGACATTTGGTGGGAAATATAGACTTCGATAATATAAACCTCCGAAACGGCGCCTACAGCTCATATAAGGCGTACCCTCAAAGCAAACTCGCTAACGTACTGTTCACGAGGGAACTGGCCAGACGTCTGGGCACAGGTAGCAATATAAACACATATAGCTTACATCCAGGCGGTGTCTATACGGAGCTCCAGAGGTACTCTTTTGGATCTATTGGACATAAAGTGATGAAGAGTTTGCTGTTGAGTGCAGAACAGGGCGCACAGACACAGATATACTGTGCCATCGATGAGAACCTGGATAATGAGTCTGGACACTATTATGCGTTAGTTTATTACAGTTTGAATTGTGTTTAAATTAAATTTAATTATTATTTATGGTAACTATCAGTGATTGTCAACGCATTGATAGCATGATATCGACGGCAACCGATGATAAAGTGGCCGAAAAACTGTGGGAATTAAGCTGTGATTTAGTTGGTCTCGAAGATCACCTCAGAATACCCGCCGTCAGGACGTAGGCCTG